GGGGATTTAGCTCGGTGGTTCTGCCACCTGCTTCCCAAGCACAAGGTCCTGAGTTCAATCCCTGGTACCAAAAAAAAAAAAGGACAAGAATGGATGTACTTATGACATGTGAGTATCATGAATATTTTAGGGAAGAAATTATATTTTTAAAAATAGATTTTATAAGAAGATTGAACTTTTATCAATTTGTGCATAAACTTCTAATGTCAGCCTTAAAAGGAGTTAACATGCAATCCCCAGTACAAAAAAAAAAGGAGTTAACCGATGGACCATTCTGCTACTTGCCTCAATTTGTATCAATATTTTGTTTTATACAAGAAAATCTTCCTCATATACTGCTGTAAAGGAAAGACTTTATCAACAATGAGAAACAGGCATAAACCTCCAAGCATTTATATATCCATCTTTATGATACCTTATAAAGAAATCCTTTAAAAATCTGCAACATAAAGGGAATAGAATTAATATGAGAAAATGAAAAAATAGAAACACAGTCTTTGTAAATAGGGAGGATGGAGGGGTTGAAGGGAGGGCAGGGGAAGAGGGAAAAAATAACCAAGAGAGCATGTAAAGGTGCAGATTTCCAATGATGTCATTATATGGTACACTTAAAATGTACCAATAAAAGGATATACAAAAAAAAAATCTGCAACATAGTCATAGAGAAAAATTCCACGCACAGATAAAACTGGACAGCCAAGCAGGGCCACAGGTCTGTAATCCCAACAGTTGGGTGGGTGGAGGCAGAAGAAAAACACAAGTTCTTGCACAGCCTGGGCTACAAAGTGAGTTCAAGGTCATCTGGACTGTTCAGGGAATCCCTGTCTCAAGCAAACCAAGAGAAAAATGAATTGAAGATGATCTGAATATGTAGAAAATAATGTACAGACTTAGATTTGATGATGGGATATGCTATAAATTTTTGAATTATATTCTTAATAGAACTATATTTATACTAGTGAACTATAAATGACAATCCCTTCTGAACTATAATTTACAGTAACTATAATTTACAATTCCTTCTGAAAACAAAGGACAGCACTATATTTTTCAAATCTGAAAAGGTAAAGAGAAGTTTTCCTTTGCATTTCTTTTTTTTTTTCGTACCAGGGATCGAACTCAGGTCCTCGAGCTTGTACAGCAAGGCGGCAGAACCACTGAGATAAATCCCTGGCCCCATCCTTTGGATTTCTGGAACACACCATAGAGTTAGTCATTTAAGTCTCAACACAAGACAATATTTAAACACACTAAATTTATCAGAAATATCAATAAATATTTTTGCTTTATTATAAAATGAGATTTAAGATGGTTGGAAGTACAAATCAAGAAAGACAGGGCCAGGGATTTAGCTCAGTGCTGCTGCTGCCTGCCTCAAAAGTGCAAGGTCCAAAGCTCAATCCCCAGTACCAAAAAAAAAAGGACAGGTGATTGATCACACATTTACAGTGATGAACTGTACATTTTATGGGCTGAGTAAAGCTGATTTTTCATCACAAACTTTCACAGGTGCACTCCACGCAGATATAAGGCAAAAACACAAAAGAAGAAGCTGTAATACAGGAAAGAAAGCATGACAAAATCAGTTTCTCATCTGGTAAGAGTGGAAAAATTTTCAGATATAAATACGTAAAGGCACAAAAATTAAGTAACTATAAAAAGATACAAAAAGAGTAACATGACTTCTGTTCCTCAAAGAATATCCTTCATGAAACTGACCTGCAAATTAAAAATTACAGGTGTTTTCATTCTCTGCCAGTGATAAATAACCAGAAGAGAAAATATCTTATGTAAAAACTATCCTTCCTACAAATATGAACATATACTATGAGCAACTAAATTACTGAAAGGCTTAAACAGGAAAGGGGAAAAAAGAAGGCAAAAAAGACAGGGAAAATACAAATGAATGTTAATTCAAATCAGTAAATTCATCCAATTTGAAAACATTTGGAGTTTGTTTGGGACAGGAATTACTGCTCCTGGTAGGTACTGCGGATGTTTTCACTTTGTATCCTGTACCTGACAAATATGCCCAGCATCTTGAGCAAGTACTGTACCATAGACCGCTACTGTACAAACACCATAAAGTTCCAAATCAAAATAAATTTTCCACTACATACTTATCATTTTTTCTTTTATGCTTGAGTACTAGACTGAATTAAGGGCCCTGCACCTGTTTTGGGTTTTTTTTGGGGGGGGGGGGGACCGGAGATTGAACTTGAGTCCTTGCACTTGCAAGGCAGGTGGCAGAACCACTGAGCTAAATCCCTGGCCCAAGGGCCCTGCACTTGTTACACAAGTTACTTTAGACTGGAGACATAGCCCCAGTGATGTGACTTTATGCTGATCTGGGTCTTGCTCCATTGTCCAGCCTGGCCTTACCATTGCAATAAGCCTGCCTCAGTGTTCCAAGGCACTGAGACGAAAGGTGGGCAACACCACGCCTCACTGAAGTTTCATTTAACCAAGCACAGTAATTCTACATAACAGTGGTAATTAAGGAACCCCCATCTTAGCCAGGCATGGAGGCAAGTGTTTATCATCTCAACACTTCAGGAGGATGAAACAAAACCAAAAGTTTGCTGCAGCCTGGCCAACATAGTGAGACCTGGTCTCAAAATTTAAAAATATTAAAAGGTAGGGCCAGGGATTTAGCTCAGTGGTGCCATGCCTTGCATCGAAAGCACAAGGTCCTGAGTTTGATCCCCAGTGCCAAAAAAAAAAACACCCCAAAATATTAAAAGGTGTGGAGAATGTAGTTCAGAGAAAAAGTCCCAAGTTCAATTTTCTGTACAATAAAAACAATCACACCTAAAATCTGTTGTATCCTAGAGAAATCCCTTTCCATCACACTTAGATGATGATATCCATCAATTTTTTTAGCCACACAAGCTCAGAGTGTTTCCTAATTTCCATCTTTTCCTTAAAAACAATTAGGGATGAGTGTGTTGGCACACACCTCTAGTCTCAGTACTCGGAAGGAAAAGTCAGAAGGATTGGCACAAGTTGGGGGCAAACTTGGTTTGCACAGTAAGTTCACAGCCAGGTTGAACTACATAGAAGCACCTGGTCTCAACAAAAGAAAACAACTTGGTTAGGTTACCTGATTAGTAGAAGACGATGTATTTATCTAAATTTTACTAGATAAATTTTACAAGATAAATTTTTACTAAATTTATCTAAATTTTACTGAGTCTTCTCCTTCCTGCCTGTGACATTTGACCCATTCTCAGACTGAGGCAGCACAGGGTCCTTTACTGTCACACTAACAATCTGACCTCAGGGGATATTACCACCATCACCATTCCCTCTGCAGCTCCTTCTGGAGGTAATCCTTGGCAGGAACACTTTCTCCTTCCCTTTCTAATGAATTAACATCCCTTCCATCTCTCTCAGCATTCTAAACACTATGGGAAGGCCTCATTTAAGGGTTCTCTCAATTAGTAGAGCCTAAATCATAAATATGTTGGGTTTTTTTGCCATTGCTGTGTTTGTAACACAGGTGTTCATTCCATACTTGGCAAGCACTCTACCACTGAATTACATCACCAGCAATATTGAACATTTCTTTTTTCTTTTTCTTTCTTTCTTTTTTTTGGTACCACGATCTAACTTAGGACCTTGGGCTTGCCAGGCAATCACAGCGCCACTAAGCTACATTTCCAGCCCTTCTTTTTTTCTTTTTCTTTTCTTCTTCTGTTTTTTGAGGAGAGGGTTTGTTGAGTTTTGGGGTTTTAGCTTTTTTTGTGTTTTGTCTTCCTGTTGTTGTTTAACTCAAGGTCTCACTACGTACTTTAGGCCAAGCTTGAACTCACTAGGTATCCCAGGCTGGACTCCAACTCACAGGGAACTTGCTGCCTTGGCCTCCCAAGTGCTGGGATTACAGGAGTGCATCACCAAGCCTGGCCATCCTTTCTTCCAATTCTCTTGGCATGAATCATCACCTATTCTGAGTCTGACAATGTAGTCAAGTTTCGGGATAAAAGACGCAAGAGACCACTGGGAGGTAGAAGGATTTATCAAGCAGAAGGCATTTAGGTGGACTTGTGTTTAAAAGCAGCCGAAGCCTTGCACAAAGGAATTTTTCAGCTTATATACCTTTTCTGGAGCGGTGGGCAAGGAAAGGAAAAAAGAGTTTGTTTTTGTTTTTACTCAGTGACCGCTTTACAGTTTAGCTTTGAGAGCCAAATATCAGGAGTTTCAAGATGTCCTCAACTTTGTCTACAGCATCACAGTCGCCAAACTTAGCTGGGTCTTTTGAGGCAGACAGTTCCTCAAAGGTAACAGGACTTCACTTACTGGAATATAACTGTCTACCTTACTAGCACCAGGGGGAGGTCAGCCTTGAAAGAGGGCAGATTCCTGAGAAATCAGGTCATCACAGGACCCTGGCAGCAAAAGCCTTCCTGTTTACCTTACGGGTAGAGGAGTGGAGATCAGCAGCACACGGGGCTGCGGAGCTGCAAAAGCTAGGAGACTGCTGTCAGCAAGGAAAACTGACTTTCCCGTAAGTTCTGCTTTAGGCTCCTACTGCAATGTGGGCGATTTACTCTCATCACAGAGCAGCTCTGGCCTGAGGAGCTAAGTTGTGGCTGAGAGCCCGTCACAGGTATTTGTAACACTGAAGGCCGCAGGCCTGCTGGAGGGAAAAAGGACACCAGGGACCCCGCACGCCAGTGCCCCACTCCACTCCCCAGCGGAATCGGGGTGCCCCCACCAAGCCCTCTCCGCGCACAGGTGGAGACGCACGCGGCTGCTGGGTGCGGGCTGCGGCTGCCGAGACTGCGCTCCGGGCTGGCGGGGCGGCTGTGGAGACGGGGCGCTGGGCACGCACAACAGTCCTGCGCGAGGCGGCCGGGAGGCTCGGAGCGCAGGCGGGAGCCCAGGAGCCGCTCCGGAGCCGCAGGGAGGCGCCGGCCGCCATTGCTGTGCCCACCGCGTCCGCCCAGACTGCACCCGACCCGCCGTCCTCGTCAGGGGCACCCGACCCACAACGTCACCATTGTGTGGCTGGAGGGTCTCCCCGGGTCCTTCGCACGCAGCCCGCAGCCGGCAGACATCCTAAAGCGAGACGGCCCAGCCAGCTGGAGCGGCTCTCAACTCTCCTCCGGGTCCGGATTTCGGAGGAGGAAACAGAGCCCGCCTCCCCGGGCCACCTGATTGGACAGTTCGTAAAGCCCCCTCCCCTTCGACGCTGATTGGCTCCTGCCCCACTGCCCGCCCCCTGAGCTGAGAGTGACAACAGAAGCCAACCAAGCCTTACCAGTGTGAGGGCAACTCAAATGGGAGATTGTAAACCAGATGCTTCTTGACCAGTTTGTCTCTCAGGATGCTGACCTGTCCTACCCTGCATTTAAGAACAGTTAACTTCTTCTTTTTTTTTTTTTTTGGGTAGTGGGGATCCAACTCGAGACCTTGCGCTTGCGAGGCAGGCGCCGGAACCATTGACCAAAATCCCCGGCCCAAGAATAGTTTACTTCTGACTTTGCAGAGCTGAGTCTTTTTTGTTTTTAAGACAGGGTCTTTCTATGTAACTTAGTCTGTTCTTGAACTCACTGTTTAACTCAGGTTGGTCTTGAGCTCAAAAGTCAATGGGAGGACCAGGGATTTAGCTCAGTGTTTCTGGCGCCTGCCTGGCAAGCGCAAGGTCCGGAATTCGATCCCGGGTACCAAAAAAAAAAAAAAAAAAAAGTCAGTGGGAAACTACAGCAACCACATCCAGGCAAAATGACAAATGCTCCAGAACCTTCAGGAATGAAGGTTTGAGTCACCCCACCAGGGAAAGAAGACCTGCCGAGGTGCTGCTGAAGGCCATGGGAATACAAAATGGGTGGTAAAAGAAGGAAGTACTAAATACCAGCTACAACCCTGTGATCAGCTACAGAAAGGATATTTATAATTGTAGTAGTTCTCTCCTAATATCGTTCCAATTAAATACAGTGTTGATGGACTTAACTTTGGTTCTTAAGTATTGTTAAACCTTAAGAAGTATTAGGAGTTAGCATCACCCAAAGAAAACTTGCCTTCTATTCTGGGGAGAGAATTAATGCATTTCCATTTGTATGCACGATAATTATAATATTTTAGGTGTAATTATGCCTTTTTTGTGTGTCTGGAGACTGTGGTGTAAAGTCTGGTTGTCAAGTTGATAGTTGTGCTAATTAACTGTGTCAATTTGAGTAAGAAATGCCCAACTAAATGGCATCAGCATAGTTCTGTGTATGGCTGAGGGATTTACTGAAGACAGAAGACCCACTGAAGAGAATCTTTTCATCTGAGCATTATAAAAGTTAAACAAAGAAGGATGATTCACATCTCTTCTTTTGAATCTTTGCTAGTCTTCACCTTCCCCTGGGCTGTTGTCTCCTGGCTGCCTTCACAGACCCTTCAGTCTCCAGTACTGACTCTACAGCATCCAATGCAGACCTTTCAGCCTCCCTATATAGACTTGCCCAGGACAGTACAGTGAGCCCCAGGTCTGCGACTGGATCACAGCTGTAGCTCTCCAGTGGGCAGGCAGTGCTCTGCCACACCTAACTTGTGGGCAGCTATTGTAAGCCAAGCTTGTCAATTCTTATACATTTGTGACTGTGCATTAAATCTTTTTCTCTAGTAAGCACTAACTAATACAGCCACCATATCCAGATCTCTCATGACCATTTTTGACCATATTTTAAAAGCTTTGAATTACCACAAAGAATGAACATTTTAGCAATTTTCAGAATGAATTATGTAGGCATCTTATATGTTTATGAAAATGACAAGGAGGCCTTGTTTCATTTATTAACAGTAAAATTAAATTTTATCATCTCCAAACATATCCTGTAATTTAAAATAATAAAGCATTTCTGAAGATAAATTAAAACAAATATTTAAATTTGTGGTTTAAAAACCTAATTCCATGGGGCTGGGGATTTAGCTCAGTGGTTTCGCCGCCTGCTGCACAAGCACTAGGACCCAAGTTCGATCCCCGGTACCAAAAGAAAAAGAAAAAAAAAAGAAAAGAAAAAAAAGAAATAAAAACCTAATTCCAAAGTATATATCATAATAAAAAAAAACAAAAAAACAAATTTGTAGTCTGCTTTATTCTAAAAGCAGGCATTTAGATAATTATGTATTTTTGGTAAGCATGTGTTGCTGTTACATAAGACATTTTGTCATCTTTTTCAATTCGGTTAACTTTCTTTTAACCAGGGATTGAACTCACAACCTTGCGTTTGCAAGGCAGTTGCCAGAACCACTGAGCTAAATCCCAGGCCCTCCGTTAACTTTCTTGATGAGTGTCTTCCAGAGCTTTTCTATAGCTGTGACATATAACCTGATCCCTATGAGTTAAATGATGGAAGATTTGATCTGGCTTATGGCTTCAGAGACTTCAGTCCATGTTCAGCTGACACCAAGTCAGAAACAGGATGGCAGAAGGCCATGGTGGGGAAAAGCTGTTAACTTCCCAGTGGCTGGAAAGCAGCCACAGTGGAGGAGCCACGGAGACACAGGACCAGATATATTCCATGTGTTCAGGTCTGCATGGCACATCCAGACATCCATGGGTGTAATTTACTGGTCACGTAAGTAGCTCTCAATTAAATCAAGTTGAGAAAATTAATTTTCACAGGGACACAATGGCCAATTTTTCTCAGAAATGTACATTCATGGGCCAGGGATTTAGCGCAGTGGTGCTGATACGGAAAAGTTTTAGATAACTTAATAGATTGAATATTAAAGTAATTGTAGAAGCAAAATAAGTAATGTGTTCTTTTAAGATTTGCTTTTCCCGTAACTCCTTGTTTAAGGTGAGGATTATCTGACTCTAACCCGAAACTTCATTAACCTAACAAAGTTACCATGCCAGGGTGAATTTACAATGTGTGTGGCCTGTCTTGTGTCTATGACTTGTAAATAGGAACTGGAATTGTATTTACACATCAAAGACCACTAGAGGGCCGGGGATTTAGCTCTGTGGTTCCGGTGCCTGCCTTGCAAGCGCAAGGTCCCAAGTTCAATCCCTGGTACCAAAAAAAAAAAGAAAAGAAATGTACATTCATTACATGTCTCTTCTGTGGGAATAAAAGTACATGTTTTCCTTTCTAAGTTGTCAGACTCATCACCAAAGCAGCACTTAGGAACTCCAAAGTAGCAACTGGAGAGAATGAGAGAGAAGAGCCACTTGGAGGTCATTTTGTCTATCTGCTTTTCCAGGAAACCAAAACTCTAATTATTAGCATGGCTCTTCACAATATATGCTCTTCACATTTGCAAAGGGAGTTCTTAAATTCCATTATTACTTTAGAAAATTCCTCGAGCAGTTATCATTTTTAGGGGGTGTTTGTCTTGAGTTCAGTGCTCAAAATGACTAATGTAGTCCCTGCTGTGCCTGAACTCATAGTGTGGACTAGAAATTAAATGTTCAAAAGTAAATACAGGTGAAAGAGAATGCTGAGGGATAAAAGAGACAGGACAGAGTAATAGGAGTCAGGATGATTTATTCAGTGCATCTTGACTCAGTTGGACTCCTGTCCAAAAGACAGAGTAAGGGACAAGGAAATGTTTTAGTTTTTATACATTTAGTCAAAGGGGATGGTCTTTTTCGTGATTTAGCAAGGGGTTTACAGAAACAGGACAAGGACAGACAGTTTTGTAACTTAGCCTTGAAAGAAGCAGAGCCTGTGAATCTTGTGAGAAGAAGATGACATAAACGTGGTTTACAGGAAATGGTTGCCAATTTTATCTGTACCAGAACGAGTAGTTACAGTTATGGGGGGCGGGGAAGGTGACCCAAGGTGGGGCAGAACTGTCTAAGGCTGGGAAAAACTTGTTTTTCTTCAAGAACAGAAGAAGCCATAGTGCAATACTGAAGAGTGACGTAATGGAAATGTTTGGGGAGACACTAGTTATGTGGATGTATAGTTATGTTAAGGGAAACACAAAGGGGCAAGCCCAGAAGCAGCATGCTCATGGAATACACATGGTGCAGAAACTTAGAGGCAGAAGATAAGTTCTGCAGAGATGAGTTTAGAAAGGTAGGTAGCAGGTTGTAGAGAACACATAAGAAGGGGAAATAAAGAAATAATGAGTAAAGGCCCAGACACAGAGCCTGACAAATTCCATCTTGCTGTGTGAAAAAGTTATCCTAAACTTAGTAGCTTACAACAAAGAGTTGTATTGAAGTGGACAACTAACAATAATGAGCTAAAAAAATAGAAAGTAATGAAGATGAGCAGGATGTTGCTAAATGTCTAGTTATTATCCTTGATAATGAATGTATCATGGGCTTCACAAAGATCTAAATATAATAATGTGGAGGAGTCAGTGGCACATGATTGTGCAGACTAGAGTTCTCTCTGAGATATCTTTTTTTTTTTGTACCAGGGATCAAACTCGGGTCTTTGCACTTGCGAGGCAGGTGGCAGAACCTCTGAGCTAAATCCCTGGCCCTCTCTGAGATACCTTTATGAGCCACAAACAACAAAACATTTTGGAGCAAGCAATTTCTCATGTGGTTTGCACACTAATGATCTGGATACTTCAATGGAGTTTTCTACATCTTGTGAAAAATTCGAAGTATCATTATGTTATGGCATGTGTTTAAATGTCTCCCCAAAGCCTCATGTAAATGAGATGGGGCTATTTCAGAGGTGGCTGTATCTAGGGTGCGTGATTGATTCATGGTGCAATGCTAGGCCTGAGGGAACTAAGATGTGAGTGCTACCTACCCTAAGTAGTCTGAATAGAATAAAAGGGGCAGGAAGATGCTGTTAAGATCTGTGTTGCTTTTGCTGTCTTCTGCCATGTGCCACTCTGCCTTGGAGCCAGACAGTTATGGACTGAAACCTCTATAAATTTGAGTTAAATAAACCCTTTCCCCTTTAACTTTGGATATTGGGTATTTTGTCTCTGCAACGAGAGAAAAGTAACAGAATTTGGTACCAGAGAAGTGGGTTCATTGCTATGACATTACCTGGCCATGTCACTCAAGAGGATTTGGAACTGGCTTGTGGGAAGGGGAAGGGTTAGTAAAGATTCAGAGATAGCAGCTGAAAAAGTAGAGCTGCAACACCTTAGGCTGCATTGTATGGCCGATTCTAGTCAGGGCTCAGAAGACCAGAAAGCCAGAAAAGACCAGCCCAGGAGGTTTCTGTTGAGAAGGACTGCATTGGCTGTTGGACTCCAGACCTTGGCAGAAAATTTGTCTGCATTTTGCTCATGTCCATTGACTTTGCCTGAGACTGAGATTAAGGGCAGCAGCCTAATGAATCTAGCAGAAGAAATGTCAAGGCAGTCTAATCTTGAGGCAGTGGTATGGCTAATGTTGGGGGCTTTTAGCCAGGTTTATGTTGAGAATCAACAGCAAAGGCCAGTAGATTTAAAATGCTTTGAGCGTGGCCAGAAA